AAGAAACTCAAAGTATTAATGAGTCTCTAAACTCGCTGATATGGACTTTCGCTCCAAAGCATATCCATTCCGGGTCTCAGATCATTAAAATTGCAATATTTATTGCTGTGTGTATTTTTAATGAAGAATTTATACCAATATTGAAGATAATGACGATTATGGGAGTGAAAACTGGTCCAGAAGCGCATGCATTTGCTATCAGACGAGACAACACTCGGATTGACCGCTCAGAGAGATACAAGCCTAAAGCGCATCAAAGGAGGCCAGAACTGCTCGAATGGAAAACAGAGACACCGAAAATAGTTTTTCGAAGTCGAGGAAGGTCCGATGTATGCAGCAGGAATGGTAGATTGAATAAATGTAAGTTAAATATATAATTTTATGACTTAGACCGTAAAAAATTTTACTTGAAACATTAAACGTTTTTTTCTCAAAACTGTTTTTTTTGAATCTGATACCCACGATTTCTCGGATTCTGCCAAACCGATTTACTTGAAATTTTAAGAGAGTCCTCTTTAGGAACTTGGCTATGGTTGGAAGTACGGCCATCTAAAAATTTTAATTTTTACTATTTTTAAAAAATTGAAGAACGCTCAAAAAAGTGGTGCAAAAATGTTTTTTCCTTTAGACAGTCGCCATTTTGTAAAAAAATATAGCTAAAACTTTTCCGTAGTTCCGGCCATGGAGACATCATTGTGGATTGATAATCTTTTTTATTTTTTGATTTCAGATTGCTTGGAGAGCCAAAATCGTGGGTATGGTCATGCACCATATTTTTGGGACGCCCCTCTAAATCAGCTGATAAATAGAAAAATTTAAATTTTTTTTATTTTTTAGTTTTTTGTATGCTTCTAAGGTGAATAAATAATATATAAAAAAACTGATAATAAAAATAGTGTTTGCTATTTTATACAGAACTTCAAAAATGACCTAAAATTCATGCCTCTAGACCAGAATACCCCCTTAATTATGTAGCATATTTCGTTTAGTTTTTTTTTATTTTATGAAAAGGTCGAATGGTAAAAGAAAAACGAAATAATCTTATGAAAATGGAAAATATTTTATATCATTTATATCGCCTCTGACGAATTACAAATTATCGCTGTGCCTATAACCCTGAAATTCTTATTTTATATGTTAGGAACTCTGCGATTAACTCAAAATTTGTATCTAATTCGATAAAACTGAATTCTCATTTTAAAATCAATACATTCACCTCTGTAATTCAATGTATTATTTAGAAAAAAAATTCCTTATTTCCACGTTACAAGGTCCAGTTCGTGCATGACTTTTTTCAGTAATGCTAAGACAAATTTTACGTTTGAGCAATCACCCATTGTTCAATTTTTATTCATAGCCTTTTAAGTATTCACACCCTCAAGACGTGAAGGCTCCAATGTGCATGTTGAATTTTCAAGGTGCCCTATTTACTATGATCCTCTTTCAGTGCTGAAGCACTTGAGACCGGAATGTTTTTATAATATAACTTCATCACTTGTATAGGCTAGTCAGATTACTTCAATAAATACTTCTTTAAGTAACAGGAACAATACTAACTAACAGGAGAACAGTACTAATCTAATTGCGGAGGGGGCGGTAAATCGATACTGGTTAGTGCTTCGGATCGCTACCCCTTTCAATTCTAGAATATGAGCAGACATTGCTGACCCTTTTGTATCAAGAAAACTCACATACGACATGCAGAAAATTAAAAAAGATGAACTCGAGTATTGCTTCTCAACTCAATATTTATTTTTAATTGCTCAACTATTTTTGACGATGTTCAGAAACATTTTAGAGAACAGATTTTTAACTCATATTCAAGCTTTATACTCAGCTTGAAATCTAGCCGAATAGAACATATCGACTAATATTTTGACATTTTTACGGATATTTATTTATATCATATGGCAGGGGGGACAGAAGAGTGTTTTACAGATGTGAAAGAGACAGACAGATACAAAGGCAGAGAAAAGGTAAGGTGAGTACTGTGAAAGTAGTCGAATATGATATGCAGTGGGGTCATGATCGTTTGAAGTGGGAAGTCAACTGTGGAATAATAGACTGTTTGCCGTATGAGTGTACGTTGCCCAGGGTTCACCACGGAGAGGTAAGTCTATCGCACACCCCATTTTAAGAATATAAAATAGTCAATAGTACAATCATTTGGGCTCTATATTAAATCTGTCAATTTCAATCAATCGAGCTGTTTTAAATGCCTCGAAATATTTATTTATTTACTTATTTATTTATATCAAATGACAGGTGTTCTGATATTTATCATTGGTCCTTTAGTTGACTTTAGGCTTCACAGAGTGGAAGGAATATCAAAGTGAAAAAAGTCGGGAGTGCTTTCTAAGATATAAATTTTGCATCGCGATAAAGCCTTTAAGTATGAAGGGTAGTAAATATGTTAACTAACCTGTGAATATAAAAATTGAGTTTGGATATTGCAGCTAATTTATTGTAAACGATATTTGTACCCACAAAAAAGAATTTACAATGAGATTCTTTACCAAATTATTTCTCAATAGATTTACGCAAAATTTATCCGAATACTAGTGATAAAAATAAAGGAATATTTCAATAATTTATAAAGAGTTGTGATGGTAAATTTCGACCTCATCAGGTAGTGAGTCAAAATATGCAGTGTACTTTCTCAATTTAACTTAAATAATTTCCTCATGCTTACTGGTTAACGTGTTAGACACGATTCTAATATTCTCGCTAATCTAAGAATTAGGCTCTCTGATTTTAATAATCCGCACAATATACTTTTCACGTTTCATGAATTGCTTAACACGAACACTACACAGATAAACCCTCTAGGAGAAAATGCAGCTAGCCTCTAGTAGAGTTCTCTTCCACAAGCTACTCCACGTATTTAAGTTTGTTATATTAGAGTAGCAGGAACACATGGTGTATCATTTGGTAAGAGTTCTCACTTAAAGTGGCCAGAAAATGCGAATACAATTCACTTCATTATGCTCCAATATTGATTGCTCACTTCGTCTCGTAAAACGGAATTATCCCGATACACGATCGGTAGGTAACTAGCGATTTCCGGAAAGCCTCGCTTTGAGATATTCTTTTGGTCATACTTGATAGAGTAGGAAAATACACAAGTCAAACTCAGATGATGGGCGCAATGGGGTGTGAGATAGACTTGCCTCCGCGTGGTGCACCCTGGGCAACATATACTCATACGGCAAAAAAGTCCATTAACAGGCATTTGACTTCTGGCTTCAAACTACCATGGCCCGACTGCTTGTCATATTCGACCCCTTTTCACAGTACTCATCTTATCTTTTTCTCTACCTTTGTGTCTGTCTGCCTCTTTTACATCCGTGAATCGCTCTTCTGTTCCCCACCCCTCGACTTTCTTCTACTTTGATGAACCTTCCCTCTGTGAAGCCCGAAGTCAGCTAAACGGCTAATGACAGCTATCAAAGGACTTGCCATTTGAAAAAAATTAATATGATGGGCGCAATTGTCGTCTTGTAATATCTCCGAAAATAACGATAATTTGTCAGTTTTTTTAATTAAAAAGATACCAAGAGGATTATAAAAATTATAATATATTGTTTTAATAATTTTGCCATTTAATTAAAAATGGGTTTCATTAGTCAAAGAATGCAGTAAATGTAAGAAATATTGAGGACAAAGTTAGGATGGTTTTGGAATTCTATTTGATATTTATTTTATGTTCACGCTCAAATGAATTCGAAATTTTAATCTTGGCTAAGAAAAGACTTTTATTATATGTGGCAGAATCTGAAATTTTTAACAGAAAAAATTATCTAATTACAAACAAATTTAATTAGAATCAAGGTTAGTTGGGAAAAAAAGTATTGGGTTTTTTTGGAATATTTAGTAGCTTACACGTAGTTTACTATTAATAGCAATACATCGTGATCGTGGCCGCTGTTCATTATTAATATATTTATGACTACGTAGACAAATAATGTAGTAACTTCTAATGATTTAAAATTTATTAAGCAAAAATAATGATGTATATGAAAAAATGGAAATAGGTACTTGCGCGTGGAGTAATATAGTACGATAGATTAAATGAAACACGATCTATATAATTAGGATATTATTGAATTTAACTTCAAAGTCAAATAAGGAACTTATTTATTTTTTGCTTTTTAAGATGTGTGATTTTAGCTAGCTGGTCTAACAAATGGCTTTCACACAATGATAATTTTGTAGTTTCTTAGATGCCAATATGAAATATTAGCACCCAATTGGATCTAATCGGGACTTAATTGCATTATATTAATATAATGTACGCTTCTAAGTATCGAGTTCCATCTCAGTAATCAAATAAAAGTGAGCAAGAACTATCAGTATTATATTATTTGACTGATATTGAACATCGTCGATGTAGTGTGCCAAGGTAGTAATTAAAACATTTAAATATATCCGATTTTATACAGAAAAAATAATAGATTAATAAATATTCCATGCGTTATTATCTGTGACTTAAAATTTGAACAGAACAAATTTTGTGAGTTGATCACTACCCTAAATAACTCAGACATAGAGCTTAATGGAACAGTTGTGGACATCTTGGAGAGAATTTTCAGCTCTATCTAATTGAGAAGATCGGTAACGTAATATGCACACCTGAAAAGTACTGGAATGGCTATGATATATCCAATGAAGCGATTCGCACAGTCGCTTATTAGGAAATGCTTTCGGAAGATATACTTGATTTAATTTTATAATAATCTAACATTGAATGAAAGACAGGTAAATGCTTTAATACATTTCTCGTTTAGCTTGCATGTTTGCACCGTAAATAAAATAAAATAGTTTTATAATCGGCATGTTAAATACAATTCAAATGTTCCTAACCTCAAATATACATGCATTTAAATCCGAAAAAATTTTGAAATAATATTTAAATTTCTTTATTCCCTTTTTCGTAGGAATAGTACATTTTTATGCCTGTGTTACTACTTTGAGTGCGCAGAAAGCTAGTACTATTTTTAATGCTAAGAGTAAGTAGAGGTATGTGTTTTTTATTGATCATCATTTCAGGTCTTCTAGTTCATTAATTTACCTATAATAGCCCTATATCTTTTCATTTTTATAATATTAATGCATAAGTCTTTTTGTTGTTGCCATTTTCATTAAAAACTGTCTTTTTCTACAGACCGTTGTACATTTTCTTCGAACCTTCCCCCGTATGCCTAAATTTTTAGGTCCTACGTTTCTTCAGGGATTTTGTATAAACCAGCGTCTTTACTCAGATGACCCCAAGAAGAATTTTACTTCTATAACATCCAATGATGAAAATGAAGACTCGGTTATTGAAATATATGACGTTCCCGTTGATCAGCAATTTGACGAAGATCCCGAGTTTGACTACTTTAATCAATCTCTGGATTATTATAACTATCCATTCATATGTCCTGGAAGTACGTTTAAGCCCTAAAACGTAATGAGTGGCTTTAGGAGCATCAAATGGCGTATTTGACCTTTCTGAAATTGTTCAATTTCTTCGGTCTGAAATGTTCATCGATATCGTTGCCATTCGTTTGCCCGATGTTGCTTGTTGCGGAGACTACATGGTTATCGCGTCGGCAAATTCAATTAAACATATGACCCAGTCTTCAAGAATCTTACAGAAATTGGTAATTTAATTTATATTATTCCTAGTTTATAATGGGATTACAGTTTAAAATGAAACGATCTCCATCGGACTCTATACCAAATTTTGAGGGACTTGATAGAAAATCTGACTGGATAGCCGTCGATTTAGGTAGATTTATGTCTGTTATATATTGATTTTATGCCCATTAGGTAATATAATTTTGCACATGTTTGCCACGAAGGAATGTCGAAATCGGTATGATCTCGAATCCCTGTGGGGAATTGGTGCTGAATTTGATCTTAAGGCTCAAGGTCTGGATGAAGTAGAGAAGCAGTCAGAGCAATCAGCTCCTCTAGGTCTTACTCAAGCTGATTGGGAAAGGATTTTGGCTGAAGTCGCCGCGGATGAAGCAAAGCATTCATAGTGTGTAAATAAGTAATTTCGTTTGTGCCCCCCTCCCTTCTGTGCATATTTTAGAAAATAAATTCTATTTTATAGTAATCTTTTTTATATTCCCAGACACCTCTCTGGTTAAGATAGTCTTTTGTTCGCGATCTTCTTAATGCTTTGTGTAAAAAGGGTGTTGGGGAATATAGTCAACTGTGTTGGACGGTTAACAAATATTAGCGAAGCTAACATCGACTGAAATGTTTGGTACCGAGGGAGGTGTTAGATATGGGTCCAAAGAAGAACCCTCCCCCCTTCTTTTCAACATAGCTTTTTTAGTTTGTGGTACATGAGTTTAGGTCATTCAGTTCTGATTGATTCGACTGGACATCGCAATATCTTGAGCATGCAGATGATTTTTATTCCATCACTTTATTTATTTGTTAAGATGCACGTCTACCTAAAGAAGCTTACAAATATGGAATGAAATAGCATGCGGTTAGACACTGGTGCAGATTTGCCTCAATTACTTTTCTAAGTAGATTTATGCATGTAAAACAGAATGGTCAATTTTGCCTAACCTGACTCATTATTGACTGCTAAGGGCTTAGCTGAGGAAATTGCTAGCGCAACTGTGAATTTTAGACTGAAGGTCCCGTCGGTTAAGACTTGCGAAAGATACTGCAGACATCAAACTAGTTCTTCTGTACGGCTTATCTCCAGCTGTTAATCATAAATTTAGTGATAATTCATTAAAAAGGCCGCTCGAAATACTGATCAACGAAGGATACCGGGATAATATACATCAGAGAAGAAATGTTTGTTGATCGCCGGCAGAAAAGGCCTCTCTGTGTAACCTTGCCACAAAATCACTTAATCTTCCTTGAGTTTTGATAAAGTAGGCTCAAAAGATAATATTGAGGTTGGCGTTTCTTCAAAAAACGCACTCTACAATTATAATTGTTTCGAGTTCTGCTATCCTAAGCACCGTTGCTAGTCTCATGCCTCCCCTTGGCTGTTGAAAAATACAGTTGAATTTTAGCACTCATAGCCAGCCGCAACCAAGGAACACCCATTAGTGTAAATATCCTCTCACTCATGGGGTTACCACGCAGTGGAAATGCTGATGCTTTCATAATTCAGTTAAAGTACCTTCTACTTGATGTCATTCACCTTCTCAGACTCGTTGGTCGTTTCCCTTATTCTGGTGCTTTCTTATCATTGAAATTAGTAAGGTGTAGGGAGACCTGGCCCAGTGCAGGAAGATGCCAAGGATCTTTTGATCTGCCTCGAGCTAAATTTTTGATCATAATTGACGGCAGCAATCTCGCATGTCTTTTCTAGATCATAAAGTAACCCAAACTTGAATACTGGAATTCTTTTCTGATCCCGAAGATAATGGTAAAAGGTTGGATCTTCATACTTAAACTTTATGTCTGCAAATTCATGTGGAAAGTCCTCAGATGTATTTTTTTATTTCGCTTCATCTACTCTTTCCGCTCCTTATCTGTATTATCGACTTATGTCATTTTTTGGCACTCATTGCACCATTTGAGTAAATAAAGTGCATTGTCTACTTTATCGCCACAAATGGTAATCACTTCCCTAAGGTTATGAATTTTTGTAGTAAAATGTCTGTTTATATGATTTTTATTATATTTGAAACCGTTTTTTCCATTAGCAGTTCTGCCTGGTCATTTGATGAGAAGTGATATAGTGGCTTACGCATGTGATCAAAAGACATTTGTTCGCCGAATTCATTGTCCGGCGTCAAGGTTTTTTCAGAAATCGTTAATCTCACAAAGATATGGTCAGGTATTTGTTGATAGAAGTGGTGTTGCCTTCGGTTATTTGGAGTGCGAGTTTGTTAATGCTAACTATGGAATGCCATATATAAGACCAGCAAAATCAACATGCGATTAATTCCATTGTGTTCTCATTGGGAACCAAAGCACTGGTTTTCTACCTGAAGGTGTCTAACAACACTTTGATAGTTATGAAAGCCTTTGACGAGCAATTTGATGTCCATGTTCATTCCCAATTGTCTAACAAGTCTCCTTGTAATTATGAGGATGGCTAGTTCACTTTACCAATCTCATGGCTTTTCTGATGACTGAATCTATCACAAAAGGATTTTTGCTTAGGCGCTGTGACAGGAATAGGTGGGTAAAGTAGACCAGAATGTAGCATATATCCTTTTCCACAGACATGTTGAGATAGCGGTTCCCTCCAATAAGTGTTCGTTGGTTCGCAATCAACTGTATCAATTCAACAGCTTGTCCGAACTCGTTAGTTCTCATATATCGCCCTTATAAGCTTATTTTATTGACTCAACGTCACATCTCTATGGTTCGCCTCAAACAATTTTCTAAAATCCCGTTTTAAATTGTGTCAAACCTTGTAATCATTTTTTAAAAATTATAACCCCGCATTATTTACTTCGATCATTTTAAAGTCTTGTCATTTCCAGAAACACCCGTCGTTTCAAAAATTTTCGCCAGTATTAATATAAGAAGAGGGGTGCGCTATAGACTTACCTCTACGTGGTGCACCCTGCATACGGCAAAAGGTCTATAAACCAACGGTTGATTTTTTACTTCAAACTATCATAACCCAGTTGTGTGTCATGTTCGACCACTTTCACAGTGCTCGTATTACCTTTGTGTCTATCTCTTTTACACCTGTGAATCACTCTTCTGATTCCCCCTCTATCGACTTTTGTGACTTTGATGTCCCTCCCCTCTGTGAAGCCCGAAAAAGACGTAAAACGAGCAGACTCATACCTTTTCACCCTATTTCAAAAATCTAATAAGCTACAGTTATGACTGAACAAATAAGGTAATAATTAAGATCACAATTTATACAAAATACACGCATGTTTATCAGCAAATCGGTAAAGAGGAGTTATATATCTCCTATACACTAAGAAGGAAGTGAGGTGTTGTCTTTAAAGTAATAATATTTGGGAAGAAAGGTTAGGAAACAAATCACAGATGGGTAGGTGATCCGATGAAAAGTAAGTTAAGTCTCAAATACTATTTCCTGAAATTCAATCCAATTAAAAGAGCAATGATAAATAGAACAGCCAAGAGAATTAGAGCACATATACACTTCTTGCGTCGTGCAGATTTTCGGTGCTGAACAGCTGATTGTAGTTGCGAAACCCCCGAGTGAACCTAAAATAATCACATACATAAAACTGCCTACTCGTATAACAATAAGTAGGAAGAGGCAGAATTTAATTGGCCTACTTGAACATAAGCGGCTTCAGTGTTAGCCTCAATGGAGTCAACGATTTCTCCTTGGTCATGAACGTAAGTTGCCAAGGTAGTAAAAAGCTCATTCACCATGACAATATCGGCTTCCAGAGCCTCCATATCTCGCGCCATTTGCTCATCTTCTTGCGTTTGCATCATCTGTTGCTGCTGTTGCACTCCAGAGCCAAATCCTCCTGAAAACATTGAGCATATTACTGCCATAGGGCAATTACGTTTAAAAATCGAAAATAATAATATAGTCTGTTAATGCTACTTACTTTCGACAGTTTGTCGAACATAAGAAATCCATTTGTAGCAAAAGAAACAGAACAACCTTGTCTCAAAAACGAAATAGCTTAACTGTGAAAAATATTTTTTCGAATTGATCTAGCGAACAAAACACTAGATAGATCCGCAGTGGATTGTCTCAATTGAGGTAACAATTTTGCATAGCCATAAGCAGATTTCGGGCTAATTGACCCAAACCCTTAATTTAACGCTGCAAAACGAAAACTAAAACAGACCAGAATCATGTGGGAAATAGCTGATGGCAATTCCCAACAAATTCATATAAATTGACATATCAAGTGATTCCAAGCTTTAATAGGATCCAAAAATCAATTAGTTATGCCATAAGCATCTTTCCCCAAAAATATTTAGCCTAAATTGCCATATCATTATTTATTAAATATACTAACTAAAGTCAGTAAAGAGGGTTTAAAAGGCTGCAAAAATTGTTAACCACTTATGCTTGAAATATTGTTCAAATAAAGTAGTCACGAAAGAATAACGAAGATTGGAAAGCTGAACTAATAAACAAATTAATGACAAATTTACCAAAAAACTTACCTTTAAAACCAACCATGGCTTCACTGGTTGCTTGAGATGAAGCTGCAGCAGAACGAGCAATAGCAGTTGAGATCCGCTGAGTCTCTCGACCGATACGCTGAACTCTAGTGGTTTGATTAATAGCCTGTTCGTGTAGATTTCGAGCCCGAGCCCGAAGGGCATCATTAACACCGGGTGAATTAGAGGCTCTAAAAACATGAAAACGTTTTATAAAGAGAAACTAGTATAATTAAAAGAAAAGACTAGCAAATGCTAAATATGTAAGCAAACAAAAATAATGCATGCAATCAGAGAATATTTTATTCCTTTAAATAAGTACTCTTACGCCCGAAGGGACTTCAAATGATGAGATAAGTCTTTGGTAGTAAGTATGATTGCATGATATCGCTCATTTAGGTAGGAAACAGAGGTATGACCAGATTCAGCACTTTTGAGAATTTCCTCGAATTGGTCAATTTGTTGTTTAATTCCCTGAATATCTTGTTCAATTCGATTAATATCTGCCGGAACGCTATCCATCACCGCCATATTTGAAATGTTTCAAAAGTACTACCGAAAATATTAAGTGGTTTAAAGAATAAATAAATAAATTATATATTATATATTTTTTGATTTTATAATTTAAAAAATTCAATTATTTTAAAGCTTTAATTATATTAAACTCAAGGCAATCGTTATGGAAGCTTATTTCACCTTGAGCATGCTTTGCGCGTAGTGTGACAAGGAGGTTATGTCACATATGAACTCGACAGGAGACGAAAGTGCATGTACGGACGAATTAAAAGTGTACAAAGATGAAGGAGAAGAAGAAGAACAAAAGAAATCATCCGAAAATTTAACTGAAGATAAAGTTGGTCTAGTAATAGAAGGAGAAGGACAAGTAAGTGAATATGTAATATTTTTCACCTAAGTCGAATATCTTTTTTATTTGCTCTCTTGCCTTTCGATAAGAAGTAAATAATGTTTTGTATGTCTTTCTTGAAAATTCTGATGCTACTTCTTTTCCCATTTATATTGACTATTGTTTTTTCACTGATCGCTTAATTTTGTAGTGAATGTTATTTTCTATTTTCATCTGTGCACACGTCTTGAATCATACATTTAAATCTAGTGCTCATCTTAGTATATATATTTTTAAGTATTCATTATGATGCTGCTTTTTAAGTCAGTTTATCCCCCTTATTTTCGTTATTTATTACTACACTTCGTCTTTTGACTCTACCTTATTGATACAACCCTCCTCTATAATGCTCACTGTGCATATTTTTGCATATTAACTCAAATCGTCTTGTCAGTTCCAGGCAGAATGTTGAAGTTTCATTAATCATTAAATTTGCTATTGTTTCTATACAATAACAAATTGGTCACTTCATTTTAATTAATATTAAATCGCATTTATCTGACTAGGCGTGAGTCCCCTTCTCCACTTTAATTCAGTTCTAATTTTATTGTTATAAGTTTTACATTAACATTTTTCGTTGTAGCACCTAGTCTGTGAAATGTTATTTACTTAATCTTATCTTATTCTTTGTCATTTTCCACTGCTTCCTTCTGAAATGATTTTCGTTTTCTGTAACTAATAAGTTAAGGTTGTTTTATAGGTCTTTAATCTCTTACTGCTCATTTGAGGTAAGTATATATGCCCAATGCAATATTAACTAAAGTTAAGTTTTAGTGGGAACAACCAAGTGAATAATTTCTATAAGGTAAAATGTAAATCTCCTTTCTTACATCGGGTTAACTTGTTTCTGCGCTTTTAGGTGTTTCTCAATTAAGCGCATTATTTTTTAAAAAAAGCATGTTCATTTTAATTGATCTCGTTTTTTCTTCCACTTGGTACCTTTTTATTTCGGTCTGTGAATTTTGATTGACTCTTTCTTTTTTTGTTGTCTCCATGAATCGATGTGTGATAATTTGTACTAGAGATTGAGATCGGTTGTTTATTCTTTTGCCTTTATATCGATACTTCCGTAAAGTCAACTTTGAACAATAAAAATAGACATTAATAGCTAAGTAAGTACTTGGACCTTGTAGTCCATCGTTTCATTGATGAATCCCTCCCATCAGTAGCCATTTGGTCTATTTCATCTCTCGGCTAAAACTGGAAAATTGAAAAGCTGCTCTCTTTCGTACGTGCAAAATTCTTCATTTTCTGATGAATTTACTTTATTTTGAATCAGAGTTCGTATTTATCTTATGTCTATGGGTAATTCAAATTTATTTGTTATATGGATAGGATTCTGAATAAATCTATGATGCGCAGTTTTAAACACGAAATAACGGTTATTTATGAGGACTTCAATTATCTCTTTATAATTTAAGTACCTTATAATTTGCCATTTCCGTTTTAATAGCCTGTCCTGTCTGCGTCGCATACTTCACTGGCACACCTCAAAATTGTTCTTGGTATTTTGAGCAGCGGCATAAAAAATAATTTAAGTCTTTAAAAATTTTGATTTATGGCAAATAAATACTCGACTATTAGTCAATGGCGAGCATCGTGTTTATGTGAATGTCTTGTTTTATTCTTTCTCTGCTTTAAGTTTGTCTAGATGACATAATTGCGATCCTGTTCCATCCCTGTTAAATTATCCCATTTTCCTCGTTAACAATTAATTCGTTTATGCCTATCTTCGCAAAATGTTACCTAACTCACATTTTAACAATAAAATAATTATACTTCATCTCTCAAATTTAAGATAAAATAGTAACGATTAAAGCGTGTTTCGTTAATCTGTGCTAAAGTACGAGTTTAAGCTCCTTGCAGTTAGTATTGATTGTTTTGTCTGATTGGTAAAGATTATTTGCTTATTTTATCAGCTGACTGACTTGCTGCAGTGAGAACCGAATAGATAGTGTTTGTTGCCCATTAAAGAGCTCTTAAACGGTCAATGTGTGAGCACCACGCCACATTCTGATGGTGTATGGGAACATGTAGACACCCCCCTGACAATTCTATCTCATTTTAATACAGAAGCCTACGCAATACTAACTAGTTTATTGTCTTTTTCACTGCAGACTCCCTTCGACTTCAATTTCATCGAGCATGGAGCCTCACGTAAGTGTTCTTTTCCTCACTTTAACTTGTCTCCTGACCCCCTCCCCCTCCCTCCCTTAAACCCCTTCATCTTCGCCTGCGTTGCCTTCAGTAAAGTGCAGAGGTACAACCCACAGTGACGCTCACAAACCAGCCGTTGCGCTGCTTTTGAGTTTTTTTCTGATGTTGAGTGGGGTAGAAGAAGAAAGAGAGAGTATTATAGTGCACGACCATACGCGTCATAACGCACTATCCAAATAAGTGGAGAATCAAATCATTTTTGACTAATTTTACCTTTCCTAAATATTATCCAATTTAAGCTTACCACGGTATCAATAACAAATCTAGATTCCCTTGTCTGTTTATGTCGTTTGTGTATGTGTGTTGGTATACTAGTGCGATCAAAACAAAAGAGTATGCACAAACCGAAGTCGCGTTGATGTATATTTCGTGTTGTTTTTTTCTTCATGGTGAGATCAACATAGACATGATATAAGTCTCCCTTCCTATTGTGCGTATGTCTTCATTAGAAGCCAGCGTGCCGAGCGGTGTCATTTTTCAACCATCTCCATCTCTCGCCTTGTCGTAAACAGGGACCTGTCCGTCAAAATTTCGTCCTCGCACCTACAGTTTTCTGTTTTTATGTTTTCGTAGTTCACTACGGGTTCTTCATTGTTGTGTGCGCTATCTCATTCATATTTAGTCTCCATGTTACATGGAGATATCCTGTCGCTGGTAATAGAGCTTTATGATCGACAGATCCACTTGTATATCTTACTTCTATTGTAATTTAAAGCCTCCGGTAGCCTAAGAAGGATTCATTAACCACCGGCCTGGGCACTTGGACTGGGTTTAGTTGGACTCATCTAGTAGGAATTTTATCATTTTAATCATAGAACTTTTTACTCATTTAGTCGGTATTTCTTGCCTTTAAAGTATTGTGCTTGCAACTACTTTTGTTTGTACTAATCGGGACCTAGAACTGATCTATTAAGGGAAATTGAAAAGTCGATAATGAATCAACACCAGTTCCTAGAGATATCAGTTTTTCGATAAATCAGGTCTTACAAGTCTGCTAATTCTAGTTTGTTGATAACTAGCTTTTTATAATTAAAATGGTTTTTCCAAGTCTAAACACGACTTTGCTTGAATTTTCACCGAATTGCCTTTGACAAACCAAGCCTAACCTGCTTATTTTTAACATACTACCATGCACATAGGTGTTAAATTCTAACAGTTGTGAATGCGTATTCAAAAGCATCTTAATGTGCTACCTCCGTTCCTTAAAAATTCACATTTTTTCCAACTCAAATGAGTCTGATGTCAGTCGGCACACTAGACTGCGCTAAGGGTGATCTTGAATAGCTGAGACTTGCAGAAAATCCTTCTGCTCTGACTGATGCTTGTCACAACTCTGTTGAATTTGATCTTGGCTGATTCTTCTTAGAATTTGTAAATGAATTAATTTAATTTCTATTTTATTCATATTTCTTCCTTTGGATTTAGTAAACATGGCGTATTTCGAAGAATTAAACAGCTTGTAAGGAATAAAATGAATGGAATGTGTTTATTTTCTTTCTTCGACCTAAATGTCACATCGTTGTCTTGAAACCCAAGTTTTTCAAATAGCCCAAATTGCAATTGGCTCTTTTTATTCTTAACGTTTTCATGTTTTGAGCATTTGGGAGTGTTTATTTCCTTCAAAGCTAGATTTTAGGGCACCTGTGTTGAAGCAATGGCTTATATTTATCTGTATTTTGACATTTAGTTTTAAGTTGTCCTATTATAGGAGAGTGAGTACTTCCGAGTTCACAACTTCCAGAAGACTGGGAGGTGGGGGTGGTGGTGGTGGTGGTGGTGATACCGTTCTCAACTTAGTGTTGACTAAGTGTGTTGGTTGTGTAAGCTGTGGTTTCGAGCTAGTACATCTTGACTGTCATGTACTCGTAATCTTTATTTCCTCTTAATTTATTCCTGACGCGAGGTTCGTTACTCCAATTTTGCCTTTGGGCTTATAAATGATGGCCCCCTAGAAACGCCCTGGAAATAGCCATTGTTACCGGCAAGAAGTATTTAATCAGACACAGACGATGTCGTTGATTGCGTTTAATCCTCTATTATTCCTTTATAACCTTTGATATGCCCCTCCTCTCTGTTTCTTTCCATGCCTTCTGTATGTGTGTACTTCTTTTGCTCGAGATTCCTGTTGGCGGTAGCTGCGTCAGAAAGTTTCGCGCGTGTGGGTGTAGCACACAGCGCGCGTTATTTGACTGGTCGGTCGGTCTGCCAGCTGCTGCTGCTGCTGCCTCTACCCTCTCTCTGCTTGGCGGCGGCGGCGGCATAGCCTGTCTAACTCCAAATTCAAAACCAACTCTGGCTGGCTAACTAGCCATAACTTTTGAGTTGAGTTTTGTCGACAAAAGCACTGTCCTGTGATTATCAGTATCCCTCTTAATGCCACCAATTTAATTCGATTTGTTGGCGATCCAAATTTCCCTCTTCCTAGTCGTCATCTATTTTATTATTCATATCAATATTTGTTCTTCCCAAGTTGGACATGCCAAATTGTGCAAATTTTCATTAATTTAGGCCGTATTTTGGTTCTTTTAATTGTCGGCCCATTGTGTGAGTCATTGGATGATAGCAAACACGTGTTCGGTGTATTTAATTTATGAATATTAGGTGCCCTTTCGAAAGTTTTTGATTTCTGATATTTTTTAGATATTATTCGAAAATCATCCACAAAAGTGCCTTTGTTGTATCACCTATTCAACTTTTCTTTCATTTAATCATTAGTTACCTAGCAGATTTATGTGCTATTCATGGTATTACTTTTTAATATTCCGTCATGATTTGGAAACTTGTTGCCAATTTACCGATCTATTAAATACCTATTTGTTGATTGCCATCTCTGTTTTTTATTATTGTTCCTCATGATACAACGAAAATCTACAACTTGTGAGTCTTGTAAAGGATCAGATGGAGTGAAGCAACGTAAGAGTTCAATTGCGTATGAACGGCGGAAGTGGTGAATAAATGATGAAATAGGAGCCTCTCGAGTTTTATATTTACAAACACAGGAGCATCACTTTTGTGGATGCTCAGAGTGGGATGTGTTCAATTTGTTGAGCCATAATTTGCTTCAAATTCATGGATGAGGTTGTAACTACGGCGTCGTATACCCTATTGGCCAGTTGATTTATGTCCGCTATTGGTCATTCCAAGCGATTTGTCTGATCTCTCTACACCTAAGACCTAGCCGATAGTAAAACGAGTAAAACACTACACTTCAACATTTCATCATCATAGCTGATGAATTTTCGCCAAGGATTTCGGAAGTTCATTAAACAAAACGTCTAGGTGATACCTTCTCATGGGATAGAAGGCTTTATAGTAATCAACTGTACATTTTAGTAAAACGATATTGGCAGTTATTAACTCATTCCGAATTCGTTTCGTTCTCCTAAACAGAGCTTCCTTTTCATAAGCATGTTTTACACATAGGTTCTAATTTGTTGAAACTAAAATTGGACAAATTTAAGTGTTGGGTGACAGTAACTCCCTCGCTCCTCTTCATATCTCTATCATTAAGGTAACTTGTGGGAGGTTAGTCATTTCGATAATTAAGCTGAGGATGACGATTTGATGGTAAAGTTCATTTAAATCATGGTCTTACTGTTGGTTTCATAAACTTCCTTCAAATGAAAACAAGTGGTGACCCGTCTTTACTATACTTTCAATAAACGGCAATTTGCATAAAGTCTTGCCAGCCCCACACGTTTGTCTCCTATAATAATTGTCGTTTCACAACAGCGCAAATTGACACGGAGTTAGCTATGTTCCTACTTGGCACCTCTTGCCTCTTGATTCAATAAAGACGACGATTATTGTATATTTCCTGCAACGCGCTATCTAGGCACACTGCTTTGCGCGCTATCCCTTCACACTCAACACTGCACCAGAAGCAGCGTTTTAAAGGTGATTAATTGTCTTCTTCTTTTCTGTTTCCATTAAGGAAGTATAGTCTAGAACATAGGCACCACATATGTTGGTTATAGACACTTGGAAAGCTTTGCTCGATGTATGCTACCTTCGTTCTTGACACATGATATGACTCCACTTTATTTTGCAATAAAATGATTTCAGTTTGACATCGATTTTTGTTTCCAACACCGTAGGTTTTATAAATTGGCTGGTAGTTGTCTTTTTCTATCTGCCGATACTTTAGGGCAATCCTCAGCACCCTTTATTAAATAGGGATGCATTTTCTGATTTTATTTCACCCCAAAAATTTTGGTTGCAAGGGAATTTCTCCTCTCCTATCTCCCGGCATCATCTCACAAACGAAAAAGAGTAGGTAGGTAGCCATTCCTTGCCGTTTAGAGATTATGCGAAATTGATAGGAAAATCAGCACCACGAGATGGTAGCTATTAGTAGCTGCTATAACGCGGACTGTCCTTGAATTAAGTTGTCGTCGTCGTCTCTATTTCTCTCTGTCAACGCGTAGTACGTCTCGGCATACGCAATGCACGCATATGACTGAGTCATCGATTTATTGTCAACACCGATACCTCCTATTTATTAACTCCTCTTACGAGCATCGGGTGAAATTTCATCGATTTTTTTACCATCAATTGCCCTTCACCCAATCGAAGAGAAGTATCTTAGCTCATTTCGTTGGACAAAAATTTTAAGAGCAAGTAGAAACATGAAATACACTTCAAAAAAATGCATTCGCTTCGTGTGTTGACAGCATTCTCGTACACCATGACTCAGCGGCTTATTCAAAGCATGAGTGCTTTAAATGCGCGTCTGCCTTTCCTGTCCAATCAAGAGTCAAGCGAGGTTAAATGCTCGCACCTGTTGTCGATCAATGATTGGTTGAGGATTAAAGAAGGGGTTTTCTTTCTTTTTTTGCTTTATGAGGTTCTTTCGTGTACAGGGGGATGTGGTGGCTTGTTGGTTGGTTCTTGCTGTCATGTATTCGGCGACAGCGATGGTAATTAAGGGAACAGCTGTGGTGGCCTGTCAGATTATAGAGTTGAGATTGTGAACATAGTCGTGAGGGTACTGGGTGTTTTCCCATGCGCTTTCGATAGAATACAACACAACATACACATTCATGCCTAACCGACAGGAGGGCTTTGCTTCCTCTCCCCTCTGTGTCGTTCTTATTCTCGTCTTAACCCTCTCCACTCCCCCTCCCCCTATAGTTTGGCTGGTTACTATGTATAATCATAGATACATATATGTGAAGTCAATCAAGAATCGAATAAATGCAGATGTTTTTTCCAAGAAAAGGCAAAATGTACTACTGTAACCAAATTCATATTTTACCTGAAAATGAAAACAAAAAATTATCACTTGAAATTCTGCGTCTACTAGAATCTTCATACAATGCAAATTCATTTCTTAACTTTCTTTATGTTATCATGAGTCGATCTGGGTGCAACTGGAAATGCGGTTTTGCTCGTTCCTTTGCAGGTAACAAGCTGACAAAGGATCCAGGCGGCCTTAGTTAATAATTTTTCATGCACAACTTTGACACCAGACATTTTAAGGCATTAGAAATCTGTATTTAATACTGCTCTTGGTTAGTTACTTAATTTAAACTTTATTAGATAATTGGCTTTGATTTCAAGTGACCAGGGTTGGTTTGTATAAAAAATTAGATCAAGATATAAGAACAGTCAAATTATAGTTTACTAAGCGATGGAACTTTGTTAACATGATGGCTCTAATTTCAGTCAATTTCACTGAGGTATTTGTAAATTCGATTTTGTGTTTATTTCACCACCAACAGTCAATCAGGCAATCATTTACCACTATGGAAGCCTTGTATTTGACCTCTTCTTTGTCTTAATGCTGCGGACTTAATGAATTTGGATCCACTAAATTGTTGTAACTAGGGGGAATAAATCAGAACTTGTTTGCCACAGGCAAGCAGAAGGGGCAGAAGGAACGTCGTTTGCTTCCTACATTATTTATAGTTATCCGCAATCACATAGGCGGAGCTATGGGAATATTGGGTACTGTCGGACGTTCTTTCCTGTGCACATACATAAATTATGTGCTCTCGTCCATCCATATCAGGGAGTGGATGTATTAATTGTCTATGAGAGGAAGTGAGTACGGATAGAAGGTAAAATGCAACTGGTAAATAACAGCCTCTCTCCCTCTCTTAGCGTCTCCATCTCCTGAAATCAGCCCAGTTTGTAACGCGCCTTGTTCTTGTTTTTCTTCTATTGACGTTCCACTATGCGTCAGTTTTCTGCGTGCAGTTAGTGCGTCCATGAGAGAGAGCCGCGTGCGTAGTATGTGCAAAAAGCGCCAGTTTGTGGACGCGTGGTGCGGTGTTACCCGCGTGCGTAGCATACCAAAAGGCGCTCTTTTAGGGGTGATTTCGTTCGGCTCTCAAAGTCTAGTGCACTAGTCTGACAGTTGGTTCCCGAGACGTGCTGGTATTTACTCGCTTTCGGCCTCTCGTTGATTCGGCGAGGCTAGCCTACCGCTGCCATCGAATGTACTGAAATGGGGAAAATTTAAGCCAGAATGGTGGGGGGGGGGGGGGGGGGAGGGTCGTGTAACTATGTCGAGAGTTCGGAAGATAGTAGCTGTAGCTGTGAATGAATACCTGCTTGTCAGCTTTGACTCAGCAAAAGTTCCTCATAGAAAAGGAAATAGAGAAATCGGGCGGATTAATCATAACACCGGAGTCCTAAACCCGATCCGATCAGACTGGCTGCTAGGCTAATCAGGCCCAATGGAAAGGCGCACATGTTCGATTTTAATCAGCTCCAGACTTTTCGTGTCTAGATTCATTTGGTTGTTTAACGTAACATCAGCCCTAGATTATTGAACAGAACCCCCCCCCCTGTAATCATAAGTTAAATTTTGAATTGCTTTCATAAGTATTCATACTGCATCTCTGCTAATAATAAGAGGAGGAGAGAGTGATCGTAAAGAGGTTGATGATTATCGTCCAGTACCTGAATTATAGTTTCACCAGGATGATTTAGTAGATATGTAGTTGTTTGTTTGTTTATTTATTTCTCAACATTAAAATTCTAATTGGCGGTTGGATCATTAACCGATTAGAGTTGTCCCCAAACAACAAGCGAGGTCGAATAGAAAGCGCGCCGCTTTCCTATTCGATCCTTGTCAATGCTTTACTCATGTGATGTATGCTACTTTAATGTGGTTATTGTGAGACGGAGTTGATGCGTCTTGAAAAAAGGGCCATTAGATCATGTAGGCCACTGATGATGAATAGGCCGGCTAATTCAACGACGTTTAAGTGTTCGTGTGTGCTTGTGTATGAAAAGGAAACACAATTCAGATTTCATATGTGTGTTTGTGCGCACGCGGTTTGTTCATCTCTCTGCCTGTGCGAATGTTTATACCTCTGGTTTGCATTCCTACCCTCCCTTCGATTCGTCTTGTTTATCCCGCAACTGGATCGCCTAATTGCCTCGTTCTAGGACGATTAACTAACCCCACTTACCCCATCACTTCCAACCCCTCCCTTCCTCCCAGAACACCGCCGGTCTTTGCATAATCCTTCTCTTGGTGGTGTATGCACATTGGAGTCAGCTGGTGTACACTCCGCGATAACGAGGTCATTCATTCCTATTTCCCTCTCTACTGTATATGTGAGCATATGGGTTAATTGAAATATGAGCTAAATTGTAATCACTCTTCGCTTCTTTTGTAGTATTCAAAGTGCCACATGGAGCGCCAGCTCCTTCTCCGCATGCTAAGAGGTCGGGGTTGTCTGTGGATGGGATAATCAATAATTCTGCTGCTGCAGCGGCGTCAGCATCGAATGCCTACGCTGCGGGATTGCAAGCTGCAGCTGCGGCAGCCATCGGCTTGGGGCAACTTGCTGATCTCTCCGCTGTCTACCGCCAAGCCACTTCTGCCTCCGATCAGGCGAGTCACATTCTTGGTTATAATTGTCCCTATATTTTTAAAGCTAGTGAACATTTTACTAATCGAACGATTTGAAGGATTACTTTAAGGAGGAATGATGGAGGAGTTTGGTTTGAGATAAGGGCTTTTGCCTCCTCACTGTTCACCTTGGAAGTCTATGTGATGCCGTTTTGTTGCTTTATCAAAAGTCTCTAGGGAACGTACTGAACTTCGCATTTTTTATACCACTTTTGTACATGTATTTTGACTCCCCCTCCCCTCATCTCCTGTTCTGCTTTCTATTCCGACGTGGTAATCTAGTCGAATCGAAGACTTCTTGACTCCTTAAATGATTAGCCTTTATCCGTGCTTTCTATTTCCCATTTCTTCCTGATGGTTCAAAAGAAGTTTTAAGTTGAGGAAACCTACTGTCCTTTTTATAGCAGCGCAAATGCCAAGTCCATTTCATTGATTTTTGACACGAATCGGTTGAGCGAACTCTTTTTGTGATTTGTCTGTGAGAGCTAAATCATAAGTTCTCCACATTGGCGGAATTTTGTTCTTTTCGATTATCAGACTTCTTACTGATGCTGTTGTTAAAGGCGAGACAAAGCTTTTACGCTATTAGTTATGAAAAATGAGACACCATCAATCATAAGGGCGAAGCCGTCTCGTTTAGTTTCGCGGTCTGTTTCCTATCCATGCTTCGAACATAGAAGTTTAGCCTGATCGAAACGATCGTTGGGAAGACACCATTGAATCCAGATGATTTCGTCCTTTAGATACGGTTATAGATTGTCATTTCTCTTACAACTTTTCCGAAGGTAATGACCGATTATCCTTTAACTGAAATCTGTTTAAATCGAGCAATAAATCGTTCTCTATCCGCTAACATAGGCCGTCAACTTTTTTATGATTCTCTCAATTTATGTTCCAGATTTTGTACATATAAGAAAGTTTACAAAATTGAAAATATAGAGGCCTACTGACATGGTTCTATCATATTTGAGTAGCCTCTACTGTTTTAAAGATTAATTTAATTGGTTTCTCTTTCTCCGTTGTACTCCTGTCGAATCTGGTGTTCATAATCGTAGGCCAGTCATGGAATTGAATTGAATTGTGTTTGAAATCAGTGGCTGGGATCTTTCCCTGCCAGGGCCTCAGAAATTGGTGACCCCTATCAGTCTAAAATAATAGTAGAGCGTTGTTTAATTTCGGCTTCGGTTCATTATCCATGTAAGTTTAAGTGCTGGCCTCGTATAAGTAAAAGTATCAGTTGGGAGCTTGAGCTCTTCAGAATAATACATTGTGTTGTCTGTGCAAATATCCAGCAATTGTAGGGACTTATCGTAGCTAAACACTACACTATGACAAAGATAGCATTGAGCAGCGGATTAGTAAGTTTGTCGCTTTCGTCCGACCACGGGCACAACCCAACAGAAGCGATGACACACATAGTAGAGGAGGGAGAATTGGTACAGAAAAAAAACAGCTGCAGAACGAGAGATACACTCACAGAGAAGGTATAGAGGTTACAGCAGCATCAAGGGAACGCGAGAGCGCCTTCATTGATTATGGGCGTACGCGCGTTTGCTCTCGCGAGTGCGCACATGCCACCCGTTCCACCCCGTTGCTCAATTAGTTAGCCAGCCTCCGCCCGTTTGACTCTGTGTGTCTGTCCTACTCCCCGCGTGTATGCGATGAAGTCTGTCCACCTATCTGTGTCGGTGCTTGCGCGAGCTCAGGTACTACCCTCAAAGGGGAGAAACGCGAAACAGTCGACCATCCACTCCACGCATGATGCGCACTAAGTTAAAAAGGAGACAGATTTCACTCTCTCCCATGCCCTCTGTCCTATCTCTTCTCAACTCAGCGAGAGAGATGCCTATCTAGGCTGTGGTGGTGGGTGTATTCGCTATCACGTCGTGGATGGTGCGCAATGCAACTTGTCCCCCCCCCCAATCTCTCTCTTTTAACCCTTCTCCTGATTTTTTGGTTTTTTTGACCACTCCAGTGACTTTGTGTTACCATGGCGTCTGTTTTGAAGCTTAGTAAACTCTGATTACGCTGTTGTACACTAATCTCAACATTTGATCCTCTTAAATGTACGTGACTCAAATAGCGTCGGGCAGTCGACCTTCTTAAATTCTTAAATGAGGGTGATTTCACAAAATTGTACGTGAGCATGCATGCACAGGCTAAATGATATAGGATTTTAGTGAAATTGTTCAATATACTTCACAACTTCTCATCCTCACGTGGAAGATGTTCTTCATTTAATGAAGAAATATGGTAGCATTGTCTGAGAGTACCGCATCCAGGCTACCAAAAAGCAATCATCATGCGGAATTTTAACAAATCAATTAATCACTGTAAAAGAAATGCGCTTTATTTGAATTTCGAATGGTACGTAGCCAGTTTCCCAAACCGCTTGAACTCTTTCATAGATCCTATGGCCTTCATCACCTCTACACTGGAAATACTGGTGTTTCTTCTGCAATATGTAAATGTTTAATCTACTTTTGTGAATTTTATTCAGTAGGTAAAAGTAGCAGCATGGTCTTCTATCGTGGACCTAATATGTTCGTATGTACTGAAATCACACAATTAATTTAAACTCTGCAGGCATTCAGTTGCCTACTTTTCCACAAAAGATAATCGCCGCATTGTAATATTCAAATGGCTCCATAAATTAGTGTTCTTGGCTTGATCCTCGGAAGGGAGGGCGGGGGGTCATGCATTTGATGATTAGAACATGTTGCTTGTTGACTGATTGTAGTGGTGTGTTTAATGGATTGACGGCCATATGGCATATTTGTCAAACTTCCGGCGTGGGATAGTGATCCAAAACCCAAGGCAAGAAGGTTGAGTACGGGACATATGGGCTTGACAACTTATCTTTCTTTGAGTTTATGTCCCCACGACATAATAAGTACTGCATACATGCTTTGAAACTTCTTGTCTTTTTTCCTCTTGTATGCTATGATTTACCCATCTACCATTTAGTAGGTTAAATTAACCAAAACACTCAATCTGGCATTCTAATTGATTAAGGTTTTGCCGCATAGTTATGTTTTTCCTTGTTGAACTAAAGATGGTTTGATGTGGTCCAAGTTTTTTATCCAGTTATAAGTTGGATCTGCTAAGAGCTCACTTCCAGTTGGTATCACCATTTTCCATAGCAGTGCCAAGATTATTTTAGAGGTTTATTCAAGAGGAAACTAATGAAACGGCGGAAGAGAAATGCAGTCATGGCATTCAGAAGCTTGTTTTATTCGATTAACTTATCTCCACTTTTACGTCTGTATTATGGATCACGATTTTTCTCGATTATCATTGTTTTGTTCTGATCCTAAGCATTATGTGCCATCAGAACTAGGAATAATTTATATATAATTGCAAGTACTGGCCGAGGAGAGCTTTTGCATTAAGAAATTGAGGTGCAGATAGTTTGGCTTAGTTTATTTCATCCTCGACTATTTGCATGTTTATAAGTCAATTATGAAGGAGAAACAAGTGTTTCTTGGGCAAAACAAATGGTTTCCAAAGCTCAGTTGCCAATTGTTCTTCACAAATTGCAAATTTATTTAGAAGAAAAAGTTGGGTCTAGGTTTCGGAGACACAACTCGTTACCCCCACTACAAGCCAGTGATTGTCATTGATAATTGTCCGTCGACATAAAGCCACAAATTCTAAACACTCCTGAAGGATGAGCAATGGACTTGTAGGGGTTTCTGTCACATTGTTATACGATGTATGCTGGCTCGAGTACCTGTAGAGTTGTACTAAACAAACCTACGTCTACTTCACTATAGTCATTAATTATATTCTCCCATAATTAGTCCTGTTGAGGTTAAACTTTCTTTGTTGGAACTTCTTGTCTGTTTTGTTTTCTTTTCATTTTGGTTCTAACTGAACTGTGTCCTATCCGATATCTGGTAGGTGGATGTAGCATGGCAGCAGGACTACTCCTCTTGGCAGTGATCCAGAGTATAAGATTCTTAATCTAAAAATGTGAGCAAGTGGGCAGTTACACATAGATTAATTTGGTCAAGTTCGAGAGATTTTCATTTGGTAAAATGTTTATTTTGGAGAGATAAGGATTTTCAATATTACCCTTTGTTGGCTTCAGCTGCTGTATTTCTTAGTAGCACGATTCAAATCCAGTCTGCATAAAGTACCATACTGGCAGACAATAAAGTTTGCGTTTTGTGCATTAGCGCTCGTCTAAACATCTACTGTTTTTTACATGCGTTTGGGGCTTTCATATCTGAAACTAGGTTAAACTCCAGACTAATTAAACAATTGCGCTAATAAGGGGGTTAATGACGTTGAATTGTTTTCATTTGATAAAGGCACGTCAAAATCTGTCCTTGTTATCTCATCCGCCAATTCGGTTTTCGAAAGAGAGATAGAGAGGGTAACCAAACAACCAAAGGCACGCTATTTAAAGCGACTCTAGTGAACTAAGCTAACTCCCTCTTTTGCTAGCGATGTAGAGTTGACATGCCGCTTCGTGCGACAAAAAAGCCTGACAACAACAACGCAGTAATAGTGGAAGTAACGTCTAGTAACTTAGCTTTCCCTATCTATCGAATGGGTGGGGTCACACCGCCGCACTAACGCTCATTTGCGTGCAGGTGCGGCGGTGCGACCACACTCGGGCTTTTTGAACAATTGCATTGGCTTAGCCACCACGGTAGAAAGAAGAAAACGCTAAAAGAAAGGGGGAAAGAGGAGAAATAGAAGAAGAAGAGGTAGAGGAGGAGGAGGAGGAGGCAACGGAACGCAACGCAACGGAAAAGGAGAAGGGAATGTCACGAAGTCCTTACTTCTCCTCTCTTTTCTCCTCTCATAGGACTTATATGTGGCTTTTTTAACTTCTCTTGTTCTTTAAGAAATCATATCTCCTACTTATACTTTAGTTTATTTTACATTATTCCATTAATTCCATTTTGAATCCAGTTTCCTACTTATCTAAAAGCAAAGCTCAATGCAAGTTCTTTTTTAATACAAGATGATTGA